CACCCACAATTGGGCCAGGTTCCGCTCCTATGCCACACATTATGTGCATGTTTTCAAAAGTTCTAGACCATTGCTTGTTTTCCTTCTTCACTGCCCTTTATCTGAATCTTTTCAACTCTCTCTTTTAAATTTCAGAAGGATGGAACAAATGAATTATTTGACATGGATATTTTACTTGACTTACCGGACCTTGAAATGTGGACAGCATATATGACGGGTATAGATATATTTAGCTGCATGATTATAGTATTTTTGACATTCTTCTAATTGTGAAATATTATTATTTTAACTGTTTCTCTAACCTGCAGTATATTTTGAGGGAGAATTGCAGTCCAGCACCACATGGACTACACCATTGACTGCAGGTGCCATGAATTCTACAACTGGAGGTAGTGAGTTATTTTAATACCGAGTTTACTGTGTCTTAATTGTTATGATTGATTTTTTTTGGGGGTATATTTGGAGTTAGTAGCTTGGTATTGCATGACCCTATTGTCTCTCTTGCAGAGCCTCATCATGACCCTCTTGGCATGCAAGGAGGAACTGCTGCTGCCGGATCCTCTGGTGATCCCACCACCCAGTCCTCCCCACACAATGAAAAAGTTTAACTTTTCCTTGATCCCACTGTGATATAGTTTTTTTATGTTTAGGTTGGCTGATTGTAAATATGTGTTATGTTGGTTGAGCTATTATTAAGAATGATGCAAACTGAAGTACAAGAACCCCAAATAGATGGTTGTGTCGAATGGGATATTTGAACTTGATGTTAATAATGTTTTTTAGTGTATTGTTGCTTATAATCCATCCCAATGTAACCCATTGTCCAAAGAAAGCCACAAACACAAAAAGAAGCTCCCCCATCACATTATAATACAAAGTTTTGGCGAGAGGAGTAATAAAGGGCGCTAAGGGTTCGAGTGATTCAAAAAACACTTCTTTTCATCATCCATTCTTAAAGCCACTAAATTGCCCTTTATACCAATTACAAAATGTTAGATTATTGACATGTTGTGATTAGTCACCTTGAATTCTCAACGGTCGATTACTGCAAAGGGACTATGCCATTTGCTCCATTTCCCATCATCATTTAAAAAGATAAAGTTAATGAAATAACTGTCATCGTGATTAAAGGGTAAAATAATTACACAATATGAAGACTTAGGTGAAGACGCAACTAGAAACCTCTTCACACTTAATTGGTGCCAAGTTTGGAAGTAGAATGGTTTTCTTAACAAAAGGATTCCAAATGATTATGGAATGTTCACCTTTTGGCATCACACACCAAACTCCCTTTGAATAACACATAGTCGCATCTCTCAATCCGTTATTAAGGATGCTCAAGAAATACTTTTCACCACGTAGCGAATCAATGAAATTGCAAAAGGTATCACCTTTTGGCTAATAGGTTAACCAAGAGAGGAGAGCCTACAGAGCACTCCAAAGCTAGACTTGAAGGAGATGCCAATCTACACAATTTGTTGGTAGCCCAAAAACTCATATCGTCACCTAACATTAGGCACCTTCCAATTCAATCTAGCTAGTGTGTTAAAAGGAAGCTTGTCAAAACCTCCTATCTCCTCCTCAACCACTGCGTCTTTCATCACAATTTCACGACTCTGAGGCTTTATATCCTTGCTCTCATCATCTAACTCATATCTGGTTTGATTTTGGACATCTTCTTCTTTCCTCATCCTTGAGCCGAAGAAAACAGAGAAATAGGATACGGGCGGAGAAACGAGAACGAGGAAAGGCGGTTGTTATTCGAGAGCGGAGAATTTGTGGGCGGAGAAGAGAGTAGTGAAGCTCCTGGATTTCACCGGCAAACAAATGCCTTACGCGAAACGGCAGAGTTCTGTTTACTGTTTGTAAGGTTAAATTTGTATATTGTCAAGTACAAGTTATTTGGTTGAATTTAGTGATAAATTTTCTTTGTAATTAAAAGATTTCATATATGATTGATAAGTATTTGAATAATATAATTGTAGTGTGCATAAAAAATCTTCATATATTTTGTTTTAATTGTTAATTTAATTGAATTTAGTGATAATTTTTCTTTATAATTAAAGATCTCTATTTCAATTATATATATTTGTAGAGTGAATTCATTAGTCTTAAGAAATGGCAAAGACTGTTTGTGAAATTTTGTGAGGATGAGAGAAAATTACTGACAAGTTCAAAGCTTTTTTTTTTTTTTGAACAAGTTGTTGAGGGGCGGGTTTCCATGAGAGAAGAGGAATGCACCTCAACCTAGCTGGGTGTCAGTTGACTCGAACTTGCACTTTTGTTTAAAGGTCTGATGAACTTCTTTGTGAGTTTCTTATCCGAAATTTTTCTTTATGCACTAGTAATTCAGCATATAAAAAATACAGTTGACAAGGTTAAACAATACATTTTTACTTTTCTTTTATCATAACATAAATTTTTGTCAAAAAAATATTTTTTAATTACATAATGAATAAATTAAATTTTACCTTAAAATTGTTTTAATTAACTTTATTTTTTATGTTTTAGGGCTGATTATGAAAATGAATATATTTTGGGTTGAAATTTTGAAGGAAAATGACAAAATCAACCTTATGCAAACAAATTTACGAAAAAAAAAAATCAAATGTTTAAAAAAAAAAAAAAAAAAAAAAAAAGGAAACATTTTTCTATTTAGGGCCTGATTGCATTCAAGCGCTCCATCCCAATTCATTGTCTAGACCCATAAAAACCAAATATCAGCCCAACTCATAATAAGCCTATATCTGACCTGAGCTGAAAAAGGGGTTTCTCTCTCTAGATGCTTCT